GCATGGCTGCCCCTGGCTTCGGTGCGGATGCCGACGCCTTGGAGGGCCTCAGGCCGTGGCACGCTCGCGGCCACTCGTGCCTCGAAGCGCCGATCGAAGGTTCCGACGGAGCTCCGGGCGAAGCTTGGATTTTTTGCACCACGTGCAGATCCGTCGGCCACCCTGGAGAGAGGTGGAGTCGCAGTGGTCTCGTGTCGGGCTGCCCTGGCGCCCGCACGGGCGGCCGTGAGCGGCAATTGGCTTTGATCTTGCGCGGGAAGCACCCATCGCGTCGCGATGGGCGTGTCGGCCCGGTGGCCTCCCTCTCGGACTCGAATATGGAAATCATGGCCACCAAGCTTGGGCTCCCAGAGGTTCCTCCTCTCGGCCTAGCCCCTCCCCTCGCCTCGGCAGGTCGGCCTGACCTTGTCCGAGGCCTCGCCCTGTTTGGCTTCTCCTCCCGCGCCAAGGCCGAGAGCCTAGGGGCGCGGGTGCTTGAAAGGATGAAGCGGGCGGGCCTCTCGGACGGTTTTGATGACGAGGCAGAGGGGTAGGCTCTGTTGATTTGGGATGCATAGTATCATTGGCTTGCAGACTCTGCAGGTGGAGGTGCTCTTCCTCCCTCCTCCCTCCATCCCTCCCTCCCTTCCTCCCTCCCTCCCTCCTCCCTCCCTCCTCCTGCCTCTTTCCTCCTCCTCCTCCTCCTCCTCCTCCTCCTCCTCCAGAACGGGGGGTTGTGCAGTCATGCTGGGCTCCCGCGTGCGTCTCGCGCGTGCGTTTTGTAAATACTGCTGTGGCGCGCGCCTGCTCTGCGTGCTTTTTGACGCGTTCTTCCTGACTCTGCGCAACCTCCTCACCCTCCTCACCCTCCTCTCCTCCTCACCAGAGGATCAGAAACTTGTGTTCCTCCCCTCCTCACCCTCCTCACCCTCCTCACCAGAGGATCAGAAACTTGTGCTCAACCTCCTCACCCTCCTCGCCCTCCTCTCCTCCCCACCAGAGGATCAGAAACTTGTGTTCCTCCCTTCCTCCCAGCCCCTGCCCCCCCAAAAGAAAGAAACGCATGGATCGTTGTTGTTGTTGTCTGGGAGGGGAAAAGAGAGAAGCTCTCAGGCGTGATCCTCCTCGCGCGCGCATGCTCTCCGCGCTCTTCGGCGTATTCCTCCTCACCCTCCCGAACCGCCTGCTCCTCCTCTCCTCCCCGCATATGAAGACTACTACTCCTCCTCCCCCCCTCGCGCCCACGAGGCAGGGCGCTCTGGCATTGTTCTCCGCATTGCCTGGCATTCCACTCCCTGGCGGCGCTCCTTACAGGTTGGCGCTGCTTGGCATTGGTTGGCATTGCTTGGCATGGCTTGGCATTATGTGATATTGCGGTGCAACACTGCTTGGCATTGCTTGGCGTTGCTTGGGGCTGCTTCGCGTTACTTGGCATCGCTCCTCTTCGTTTCGCTTGGCTTTGCGCTGCTTGGCGCTGCCTGGCAGTGCTTCACAAGACCGGGGACCCCGAAGAACAAGACTGGGGGGGGGGAGCACGAGGCGGGAAGGCGGGGAACGAGACCGGGGAGCCGAGAAGGTGCAGAGAAGACAGGGAATAATTCCGAGGAGCCCGAGCAAGGCAGAAATCAAGGCTGGGGGACCGAGCAGGGTAGAGACCAGCGTCGGGGCAGGGCTGTCGCACCCAGCGCTTCTTCCCAAGACAATGCTAGCCAGCGTGGACCTCAAAACACTGACGTCCTGACCAGGTGCGGCGCAGTCTGCCTGGCTCACTCTGTGTGGTGATATCCTGTGTGGCGTAGAGCGGTAATGTGAAGCCATGCAATACAAAACAATGCGAAGCAGTGTAAAGCAATGCAACGCGGCGCAACACAATGCAACGCAAAACAACGAAAGGCAACGCAACTCCAAGCAACGTCAAGGCAACGTGGAGCAATACAAAGCCGTGCAAAGCACTGCAACGCAATGCCATGCGATGCAATGCAATGCAAGGCGATACGACGCAATGCCAAGCAATACAAAGCAACGCGAAGCCATGCAAAGCAACACACAACAGCGAAACGCAAAGCAATGCAAAGCAAAGATGAGCAACGCTAAGCAACGCAAAGCGATGCAAAGGAACACAGATCCGTGCAAATCAGCGCAGTGTGATGCAACGCGATGCAGATCAATGCAAAGGAACGCAAAGGGATGCGGTTGCAACGCGATTACAACGCAGCACGATGCGAGTATAATGCAATGCGAGCGCAACGCAATGCGATTGCAATGCAATGCGATTGCAACGCAATGCGATCGCAACGCAATGCGATTGCAATGCCATGCCATCGCAATGCAGCGTGGGGGGGGTGCAACGGGGCGGCGGCGACAGGCGGCCACGGGGCGCAAAGTAATGTAAAGCATTGCAAAGCAATGGCAGCGTTTCAAGAGCTGACAGAGAAATAGCACAGGTTAAGGAGGTGGGAAGACAAAGAGAGTGAGAGAGAGAGGCAGGAAGAAACAAGACAAACAAAAAAGAGAACGAGAAAGAGAGAGAGAGAGAGAGAGCGGAATAGAGAGAGGGAGAGAAGGAAAACGGGTAAGAGAAGAGAAAGATCTGAGAATATCCTGTGGGACACACAATGGCTCCACACTCCCCCAGCCTCCCCCCTCCTCCCTCCGTCATCCGTCCTCGTCCCTCCTCCGTCATTCCTCATTCCTCCTTCTTGATTCCTCCGTTCTTCCTCCTTCCTCCTTCCTCCGTCGTATATCGTCTAAACTCTCGCCTCCCTCCTACTCTCTATTCCCCCCCCCCTCCTCCCTCCTCAAACTAGTCCGTCCTCCTCCATCATCCCTCCTCCCTCCCCCTCCCCCCTCGCCTCATCCTCTATCCTCCCTCTTCCTGTCATCCCTCCTCTTCCCCCTCCAACTTCCATCCTCCATCCTCCATCACGCATCCTCCATCCTCCTCCCTCCATCATGAATCCTCCGTCCCCCTCCTCCATCCATCCTCCTCAGTCTTCCGTCCGCCGTCCTCCTCCTTCCTCCCCCCATTCCTCAGATCCATCCTCCTCTTTCTCCACCCTCCATCATCCATCATCCCTCCTCCATCTTCCATACCACATTCGTTATTATACATCCTCCTCCTTCCGCCACCCTCCTCCTGCCGCGTTCCTCCGTCATCCTCCCTCCGCATTCTCGTCCCCCCGATTCCTCATTCTCCTTCTCCCCCGTCTCTTCCCTCCCCCTCCTCCTCCTCCTCCTCCTCCTCCTCCCTCCTCCTCCTCCTCTCCTCCTCCTCCTCCTCATTCTCCTCCTCCCTTCTTCCTTTCCTCATTTGCCTGTTTCTCCTCCCCCATCCTGCTCCCCCTCCCTCCTCCCCCTCTCCTCCTCCTCCTCTCTCCCTCCTCCTCCCTCCTCCTCCTCCTCCTCCGATTCCTCCTCCATCCTCCCCCATTTGGGTACGGCGGTTTCCCCGGCCTTGGATTCCACTACACGCTCCTCCACATCCCTGATCAAGGCAAGTCGCTTAGGTATCGTTTCTGAATAGGCTGGTGAGGTTACGCGACGCGATTAGAATTAAGTATGATGCACCTTCGGGGGACCTTGTCTGTCCGATCGCGACGCTATGCGCGTCGAACAGATGTCGAACTTGTCGAATCCGTGTCGGAACCATGTCGGATCCGCGTCGAATCCTGCGCCGAACCAGCGTCGGGCACAAGAACAGGACTGCAATATGTAGGACACACAAGTCCCCTCGAAGAGAGTAACAGGAGGTCTCGACCCCTTTTCTGGGCACAGCTCTTGGTTCCAGACTCACTGCTAATGGCCCCAGGACCCGAAAACAGTCCGCCTGAAGTCTGGGGAGCGAGGCGGGGATTTATCCATGCCACCGCCTGGGAGCCGACATCCTGGGGACCCAGCGGGCAGTGGATGTGAGGGGCCCGAATTACATCTGTATCTATCGCCTGAGGAGCTTCGCGAACCGGCGTGTGAACTACAAGGAGCCTCCGTAAGAGCTTCAGCTCCGAGCCCAAGCAAGAGCCTCAGCTCTGCCTGGGGGGGGTCGCCGTGGGGGCTCTGCCGGGGCAGGGGGGGAGGGGGGGCGGTCCCCCATCTGGCGTTTTCTGCATGATTTGCCCCCCCCCCGGCCCAGGACTCTCCCCTCGGAACCCGCCCCGACCAGTTCAGGGGAAGGGGGGGAGGGGGGGAGGGGGCAGTCACCCACCTGGCGTTCTCTTCATGATTTGCGCATCCCCAAGATGTTTCGGGGGGTCCCCTCTCAGATCTAGCCGCTACCGCCCCCAAAACCCTCCCCTCGGAAACCTCGCCACACACACACACACACACACCCCGGAACCGCTCCAGGCACCCCACCAGAGGGCACGTCAGCTCCAAAAAGCGTCCCCCGACGACTCCAAGAGCGCCTTCCCTCCCAAACAGCGTCCCCGACGACTCCAAGATCACCGAATCCGGAGCCCCCCGGATCCGCGGCACTGGCTGGAGGCCATTGCAATATCAATATCTACCGCCTGAGGAGGTTCGCGAAGATTGATACCGCAGGCGGTGGTTATGGATAAATCCGCGCCTCGGATGGGGAGCGATGCGGGAGGGCCGTCACCAAAGGGCAGGATCTGTCAGCATCGATCGAGTCGGAATGTGCGTCGGATCGGGCCGCATCGGCACGGAATCGAAGTCGAATCGGAACAGCCGCGCCAGAATGCACAACAGCGCCGTGCAGGCGTCGGGCTGCATCGGATCGTCAGAATATATCGGAGTCGAATCAGATCGAAATTGGAAGCGGGAGAGGTCTGAACTGGGACCCCAGGAAATCGGTCAGGAGGGAGGGGGGGAGACCAAATCCGCTCAAAATCGGTCCCCAAACGCCTCCTGGGGTCCATCTGGTGTAGTTGTTCACCCTGGATCCGTTTTTCACGGTTCTGGGGGCCGAAGACGGCCCACGAAGACCGAAAAAGGCAAACAACAGCAAAAAGAAAAACTAAACCAGAACCTCGAACCTGTCCGCCTTTCTCGCTGGCCGGGACCAGTGCTGGGCCACCTCAGACCCCAAACGGCTCCAAGCAGGAATATCGGAATCGAATCGCATCGAACTAGCCGAAACCCATATCGAATCGGATCGATGGGTCTCGAATCGATCGGATCGACATGGACTCAACGGCGTGCACAGGGGGGTAGGGGGAGGGGGGACGGATCCTTCGAAGGAGGCTGCTTCTCAGAAAGCGCCAGCCTTACACCTGTAGACAATGGCCCGCGCCTTCCAAGCAGCAGGGGGGCTTCTAGTAAAAGCCCTCTGCGCGTGGCAGACAGTGGCATGAACATACACACTTGGAGGTCCGCGCCGATGCCTCGGATCCGCGCTGGGGCACCCCAGCGGCGCCTCTGGCGCTGCACCTGGCGCGCTCCGCGCGCCAGGCGTGGGGGTTCAGAGCCGATCCGAGACATCCGCGCGGAGCTCCGAGCCGCGTGCCTGCGCAGGTCCCGTGCTCCCATTCGCCCCCCTCTGCGCGCGGCCGACGGAGCCTGGAGGGTCGCCCTGCCACGGGCCAGCGGGCGCCCCCCCCCCCGCCCCGACCCCCCGCGCGCGCCACCGAGCACGGGCCAACAGCCGGGTCCCGGGCGCGAGGCGCCGCTGGGGGACTCGGCTCGAACGACATGGGAGGGCGCCCAGACCCGAGGCGGGGATGTATCCGCATCCACAGCCTGGGAACCGACGTCCTGGGGACCCAGCGGGCGGTGGATATGTATATCTTGTGGCCCCCAGGGGCCCGAGCATATCCGTATCCACCGCGAAGGTCGATCCCCCAGGCGGTGGTTATGGACAAATCCCCGCCTCGGACTCTGGGCGTTGTGAGACGAATCGCGCCGCCAACGTGGTGAAAATTCGCGACGCCTGGGGTCTGGGCAGGAGCCCTGGATGAGAACGAACTGCGCACAAACGCTGAGATCCGGGCGCTGCAATTCTTTCACACTGGGCCTTTTTCCTCCAGCTTCGGGCCCCAGGACCATCACAGATCGATCCGGCTCGAGAAATGGCGCGATGGGGTCTAGGTCTCTGGTCGTGATTTTTGCAATGTTGCAAACTTTTCGCAACGTCGGATCTCAGGGAAGATCGATGCTGGCCAGGCCCACCCTGAACCCCAGGATCGGTGCACGCCCCCTCCTGGCCTGGCCCGGGAGTCATACACACCTGCGCTGGGCCCAGGATGGGCCTAGCCAAGATCGGTGTACGTGGCTAGTTCTCGTCGCCCAAAGCCTGGCCTCGCGCAAGCTCAGGCGGCGGGCTCCTCTGTTGTGATGGAGAGGTCCAGCTGCTGGTCAAGGCCGAAGTAAGAGTCCTAGAAGAACAAGAAACGGCAAAGCACAGACGTTCGGAGGTCCGCGCGGGTTTCCTGGGTCGGCGCTGGGACCCAAACCGGGATCGGCATCCGCGGATCGAATCGAGACCGAAACCGGATAACGGAAAGGAACTCAGACCCGAACCGAAAGAGGCAGGGGGAAATCGGCGTTGGATCGGATCGGGTCGGAGCCGGGCCTGCCTGCCAGGGGTAGGGAGGGGGAGGGGGTCCAGCGCCGATCCAAGAAATCTGCACGGACCTCCGAAAGTGCATGTTCATTACGCTGCTTCTTATTCGAAGTCCGACATCGTAATCACAGACAGCGTGAAAGTCTCTCCAACCTCCTCGGCGGGCGAGCAGAACTGGAAGTTCACGCGCCGCTCCGTCCGGGCTCTGGTGGGCAGGATCGCCTTCTTGATCGCAACGAGCTCGTCCACCTCTGTATCGCCCAGCATGCACCACCACGAGAAGGTCTTTTTCTTCGGAAACCGCGGGGCGTGCACGAACCTCGCGGGCGTGTTCTCGTAGCTGAGCACCACGGTCAGCTCCAGCTCGCTGTCTGGGGGCACCCTGTACGGCTCGGGGATCAGCCTGCCCTTCCGCCTCTTGGGCTCCCTGCCCTGCTCCCCGCCCTCCGCCTCCTCGGCCTTGTCTTCCGGGTCCAACACTCGCAGCTCGATGCGTTTCCGGAGCTTGGGGAGGCCCTGCACCATCTGGAGCACCTCCTTGTGGGCGTCGGCGCTGGGCAGCTGCAGCTTCATCAGGATCTTGGTGTAGTCCTTCCTCTCGAGGAGCTCGGGCAGAGCCTCGACGCCCATGCCCGAGAGCACCGTCAGCGTCTTGTCCGAGAAGTACGGCACGGACGTGAGCGACGAGCGCCACGGATGTGTCGCCTGGTGGATGCATTGCAGCAAGATGATCAGGTTGATCGTGCTTCTCAGCTGCGCCTCCTCCGCAGATATATCAACCATGGCCTGGATGAGCGGGATCGACCGGTCAAGAACGCTCTTCAAGTCTGTCTTGTAGTCATTGCTCGGCAAGGCTAGGCCCCACATGTGCGCCTGCAGCAGCAGGAAGGCCTTCGTGTGGGGGGAGTCGTAAGCCTGGATGGCAAGGTCCACCTCCAGTGGGGTGTGCTCAGCAAACTCGGCGTTGAGCTTGTCTTCGTTGTGCCGCACTGGCAGCTCATCGTACTCGGGGCACTCGCACAGCACCCGCATCAGCTCCACGAAGCCCAGGCCCTCGCGCGAGAGCGTGCGCTTGAACTGGGCCACGGTCCTGTGGCCGAGGTAGTAGAGGGACGAGATGCGGCCCAGTTTCGTGGAATCCACGGCGGCCGAAGACACGACGCCGTCCTGGCCAGGCTGAGGCTCCTTCAGCTCGATGCAGCCCGAGCGTATCAGCTCGTCGAGGCACTTGTTCATGAGCCGCTCGATGTAGTTGGCCAGCATGTCGCGCTGCTTCTCGAAATCGGTCTGTTCAAGCAGAGCTGCTTGCTGATCGTAATAGGCTGGGTTGGCAGTAAGGCGCCGGAAGAAGTAGGTCCACGTGACGTAGTCTATGGCCTCGTCGCGCGTCTTGATTGTCCTCGCGACAATCTCGGCATTCAAGTGGTCTGTCAGCTGCTCGTGCAGCGAGGATTCCACTGGGAAAGGCTCGTAGATGAAGCGCCGGTAGAAATTCTTCTTCGGCTCGTGGACCATGATGACGGCTTTAGCCTCTGTGTCGAACTGTGGACGCCCGGCGCGCCCCATCATCTGCAGCACGTCGGTGATGGGGAAGTCGACATAGCGCTTGAGCTGGCCGTCGTAGTATTCGGTGCCCTTGATGATCACGAGGTGCGCTGGAAAGTTGACACCCCACGCGAGCGTCGATGTAGAGATCAATACCATGATCTTCGACTCCACGAAAAGCTCCTCCACCACCTTGCGGTCCCGGTCTGGTAGCCCGGCGTGGTGGATGCCGATGCCGTACTCGAGGCACTGCTTCAGGCTGGCGTCGGTGCAACGGCGCTGCGCGTACTCGAGCTCGTGCGGCTCCAGCCGGTTGAAGAGCTTCGGATCCTCGTCCGGGTCGGCCGACATGAAAGAGACGATGTCGAGGGCCGTGAGACGCGTCTGCCTCCGTGAGGACACGAAGATGAGCGTCGGTTTGACCCCCTCGGGCTTCACGGCGTGGTTCTTGATGGCGTGGAAGCAGGGTTTGTTCATCGACGCCATGCGGGGTACGAAGTGCTTCTCTGGGTAGCCCTGTATGTGGGCGGTCATCGGCACAGGACGCACGGACGGCCTAAAATTGAACAGCCCAACGATGCCGATCCCTAGCCAGTCGGCGATGTCGTGAGCGTTTGCCAAGGCCGTGCTCAGCCCCACGAACCGGATGGGCTTGTCGAGGTTGCAGGAGATGTAGCGCATGCGGGACACGATGACCTCGAGCACGGGCCCGCGGTCCTGACCCAGCAGGTGGATCTCGTCGATGATGACCAGCCCCACCTTCTGCACGTACGAGCGGTGCTGCCAGTGCCTGGAGATACCGTCCCACTTCTCTGGCGTGACCACGACAACGTCCGCGCGGTCGAGCGCCTCTACGTCGGGAGTGAAGTCGCCAGTGAGCTCGACAACGGTCTTGCCGAGCTGCCTCTGGAAGCGCTCCTCCCAATCCTCCATCCGCTCCCGGGCCAGCGCCTTCAGGGGCGCAATGTACACGCACTTCTCGTCGGGGGCGTTCGAAAAGAGCCGGAACATGCTGAGCTCGGCCACGATCGTTTTGCCGCTGCCTGTCGGGGCCCCAACCAGCGCGTTGTAGTCCGTGTGGTACAGCGTGTGGAAGACCTGGGTCTGTATGGCGTTGAAGTGCGTGAACTTGTACAGCCGCTGGTAATTTGCGTTGTGCAGGGCCGTGACGGGCATGGGCGTGAGGTCCAGCAGCGTCGTGTGCGCCTGCTGCCGGTCCGGCAGCAGCAGGTGGCTGACGGAGAACTCGAAGGTGAAGTAGACGCCAACCCAGCGGTCGCTCACGACCTTAATCACGTACTGAGGCGGACGCGGCTCCTGGAGGGGGATCGCGAAAGAGAGCTGCCCCGTCTCGTAGAGGTTCCGCTTGTGCAGGACGTAATACTCGCTGTGGAGGATATCCTGGGTCTCTGGGTTCTCCACCCAGACGTAGAAAGGCTCGCTCGCACCCGACCACCGGTCGCTCCACTCGAACTCTGGCTTGATGATGAGCGTGATGCGCATGATGGTCGAGGTGATGGGCTGGATCTTGGCCTCGAGCTCGAGGTTCGGCACCCGCTTCAAGTACTTGGCGACGACCTTCCCGTCAGCCTGCGTGCGGCAGATGTTGGTGAGCTCGGACGAGGACATCTCCATCAGGCGCCAGTGGTCGAAGCCCGCGTCCTCCAGCTTCTTGACGATCAGCTCCTTCAGCACGCCACCCGAGGGCCCGCCGTCTAGGCTCATGCCCCTCTGCAGAGACTGCTGTGTCGGCGGGTAGCAGAAGTGCCTGAGCACGTGCTGGCTCTGCCACAGCCTGCGGTCAATCATCTTGCACCACTCCAGCAGCCGGTCGCTCATCTCGCTCATGCTCGTGACCCGCGTCATGGTGATCTCAAACATGGCGCGGAACAGCCGCGAGGCGCTCTGAAGCACGAAGTTGCAATCGCTGATCAGGCTGAACGCCTCGATGTGGCGCCGGCTGAGGTACGTCTGCAGGAGGATCGCAACCTTGCCGTACGTGTTCTCGCACCCGCCAAGGACCTTGATGGGGCAGGTGAGCTCGTCGGCCGCCATCTCCTGCAGCTCGGGCATCTCATCCTCGCGGACCTTTACCTGGCTGAACTCGTGCGCCTTTCCAAACAGGGCGAGGATCTTGTCGTCCGACATGCCCTGGGTGGTCCCCTTGCTGAAGTGCTCTGCCGTTTCCCAGTCGACGTAGAAACGGGCCGCCACTCGGCCCAGATCGGTGGCGTTGTAGTTGCGGCTGTTGTCGATTCGGATCAGCCTGGCATTGTTCAGCTTCATCGCCGCGTCATTCACAAACTCGCGCCGCTTTTGCTCTAGGGTGGGGTCGACATTGAAGTCGTCCTGGGTGATGCCGTACTTCTGGGGTGTCCGGAAGAAGCGGACAAACAGGTAAGTATAGCGCAGCCAGTCGGCGGCATCCTTCTCGGATGATATGTTGCCCATGACGATCTCGGCGTTCAGGGAGTTGGCCATATTCTCCAGAAATTTAGACTCGATGGGCATCTGGTGCAGGAGCAGCCTCAGGTAATTGTTGAGCTTGTCGTGCGCAGTGATCAGCGTCGCATTTCCCTTCGTGTCGTAGCCTGGGCGCCCGGCGCGGCCGAAAATCTGCTGCACGTCCAGGATACCGAGGTCCTTGAAGCCACCGGAGGAGGAGTCGAAAATGGAGGTGCCCTTGATAATCCGCCAGCCCGCTTGGGAGCGCAAGGCTGCGAAAATGCTTGATGGGCTTATGGATTTATGGATTTTTCTATGTGTGCAGTTCTCGGATTATTGCTTCTTCTCGCTCCTGTCTCTGTCGGCTCTCATTGATCGGCGATGGGCCCCCCCGATAGCAAGTCCGAACGTTCCTGGGCACTGGGCGGGGTGGGCGATCGACCCTGAGAAACACAGAATACACACCGAAGGGACTTTCCTGGCCACTGCGAGCTTCGGCGACGGACAGGTTCCCCGGCCTGGCTCTGAGGAACGGCCCGAAAACCCACTCCCATCCTCAGCCCGAAAAGGTTCTTCTTTCAGCGCATTGACTGTATCGGCGATGGAGGGCGATTGGGGGGTCAATGCACCCCCCCCCCAGAGCCAGTCTCCCCCGAACGCTGCCCCCGAGGGGCGCATCGAACACCAAAGAACGCCGCAGGGCAGGGGCTGGTCTATACACAGACACCCTCCGCCGAAGTTTGGCTTGTGCCTCCCTGTGTAGAAAGCCGCCGGCTCTCGGTGGCGGTTAAGACAGCGCCACCCCTCCCTGGGGCCCAAGAACAATCCGGTGGAGGGCGTATGTGTATACTCGTGGATGCCATGACAATGGACACTCTAACACTCCTATCATTGAATTAAAGATGTGCTTAAAATGTGTGAAACATGTTCTGAAAATGCTCCAACCTTTGAAACAGATTCTGGACATCTGGAAACTATTTGGCAGCACCTGTCCTCTCCACTGATCGTCCTCCACGAGTGTATACTTCTGCTGTGGCGGATTGCCTCCGGATGCCTCCGAGAACAGGCGCGACGCAGGCGACGGGCCCTGCGCGGGAAGGGCGCAGCGGCCTCCCGCGCCGCGGCCGGCCTGCGCGGGCCCCCAGCGTGGCGCACCGCGCGGTGAGGAGAGCGCTCTCGCGCGGCCGCACGCGGGAGGCTCGCGCGCGAAGTTCGGCACCGTCGAGCCGGCTTTTTGCGAGGCGGGGATACATCCACATCCACCGCCTGGGAACCGACGTCCTGGTGCCCCAGCGGGCGGTGGATGTGGATGCATTTCGGCCCCCGGGGGCCCGATTATATGTCCACATCCACCGCCTGCCGAGGCTCCGAAAACTGACCCCCCAGGCGGTGGATATGGACAAATTCCCGCCTCGGACACGTGGAGGAGGGGGGGCTGCAGGACGCCCCCGAAAGAACAGAAAGCACTGAGAAAGTATCGGAGGGGGCGCGTGTCATGGGCGATTGGCGGAAATGATACCTGGAAGAGAAGTTCTGAAACCGCTGGGATCCACCATCCCCGCAAACCTCCCCACCGATCCCCACCCCCCTCCACGCACTAGCGCTGTGCTTAAAATCCCACCAGCCCTCTGGGCGACAGGTGGTCTAACGATATCTTTCTTTCATCTTCGACAACCCCTCCTTCTCCTTCGGGGAGGGGTTTACCCCTCGTTCTACCCCCCCCCTGGACCTGGACGGGGGGGGGGGCGCGAGGTGTCAGAGAGTCCTTTTTCGCCCAAGATGGCTCCAAGAGAGCCTCAGAGAGCCCAATATAGCCTCCGAGATCGCTCAAGATAGCCCAACGTGGCTCAAGATAGCTAGCAACATGCCTCCACGAGGCCCCAAGAGGGCCACAAGACGCTTCCAGGTGCTTTCGGCGACCCCAGACCTCCCCGAGAAGCCAAAATGCTTCACAAACCTCAAGAACATCGCTTCCGATGCGCTTTTGAGGCCTCAGGATCGCCCCAAGATGGCCCAAGAGAGCTGCGAGAAGGGCCCAAGAGGCCTCCAAGACTGCCCAAAGAGCGCCCAAGATCGCCCCAAGAGGGCCTCAAGAGCGCCCCAAGATGCTTTTTCGATGGCCCCGGAGGAGGGAGACAAATCGAGGACCCCCCCCTCAGTTGATCGATGGTCTCAGGGATGGCCCCAAGAGGCGCTCCATAGCTCCCAAGAGGGCCCCAAGAAAGCCCCAAGTGAGCCCCAAGAGGGCCACATGAGGGCCCCAAGGCGCCCCCAAAAAGCCCCAAGAGGACCCCGAGACCCCCAAAAAGCCCCAAGAGGGCCCCAAGATGCCCCAAAAGAGCTCCAAGAGGACCCCTTTATACCCCTCAATACAGCCCCGTAGCTCCAAGAGGACCTCCGATGCTCCAAGAAAGCTTCCAAGATGGCTCAACACCCTCCTTCCTCTCCTCTCCTTGCACGCTTTGTTTCACTAGATGTGTCGCTTCGTCCCTTTTCCCGTCAGCTCTCATGGGCAGGGCTCCTGAATGGCCTGGTGGGGATTCGCGAAGCGTGAACAATTCGAAATAACGGCTGCTACGGGGGACGGCACCCTCGCCCCTGGTAACGTCACAATTCGCGCTGGCGCCGTCTGGGAGCGGCTGGGAAGAAACTAATTCTCAGACGGCGTGGGCGTGAATCGTAGCGTTACTGGCCCCCTCCCCTCCTTCCCTCCTCCCACGGTACCGCCCGTTATCCCAAGAAAAAATCCAAGGTGGGGAGGGATTTGGAAAACCCCCACCACCAACCCCTGGAAAGGGGAAGGGGAGATTACGACAAGGCACCCCCTCGCGCTGGCAAAAGACGACGACCCCCCGCTGTCGTCGTCGTCGTCGTCGCCGTCGCCGTCGTCGTCGCCATCGCCGTCGCCGTCGCCGTCGCAGTCGCCATCGCCGTCGCCATCGCCATCGCCGTCATCATCATCATCATCATCATCATCATCATCATCATCATCATCATCATCATCATCCTCATCATCATCGTCAGCATCATCATCAACAACAGCAATCAGTTTAAGACTTTTTGCTCCTATGTGATCGCGTGCCAATCAACACGTATATCCCAAATCTTCGGCACCCGCCCTCTTCGTCTTCGATCGTAACCCCCTCTTAGGGGGTATATCCTCCCTTACCTGCCGCGTGTAGTTGGCGCGGCCCCTTGAACAGGGGAAGGAGGGGAGGAGTGCAGATACAAGGGGGAGGGAGAAGCACGGAGCGCGAGAGAAACTTGCGGGAGGATGGTCGGGGACAGCAGCACAAGCGGCAGACCCAGCCTGGCGCGTCGGGCGGGCGGGCGGGTCGCTAAAGCGTCAACCCATCATGAAGGAAGCGTCAGGCGACAACGCGGCTCCCAAAGAGATCGCTAGAAGATCCGAGGCGAGAGCGTGATTTGTGTGAGACTTGAGGGAACGTCGCCGCAATAAACTGTCAGGAAAAACCGCGCGAGAGCGCGATGCCTGGGCAAGTGCTGAGGAAGTCCCGCGCGAGAGCACGAGTTTGGAATGCACTGTGAGGGAGTAGAAGAGCCGTTGCTGGTATAGTTCGGGGGGGCCAGGGGCGCAGTCTGGTGACCACAGGCTCTCCCTGCCAAAAAACCCGGCGCGAGCCTCGGGAGGAGCACTTCAGCTTAATAAAGGTAACTGGGGAGATCGACTACCTATACGACCACCCTTCGGGTGATAAGGAGGTTCGGGGGGGGGGGAACCAACGTCTCACTCGATCGGTCTCACTATCGATCTCAGTATCGATCTCACTATCGGTCTCGCTCGATCGATCTCGCTCGATCGATCTCGCAAGCGATCTCACTCGATCTATCTCATTCGATCGATCTCACAATTGATCTCACAATCGATCTCACAATCGATCTCACAATCGATCTCACATTCGGTCTCAATATCGATCTCACTATCGATATCACAATCGCTCTCACAACCAACGTCATCATCATCATCATCATCATCATCATCATCATCATCATCATCAACATCATCAACATCAACATCATCACCAGCATCGTCATCATCATGAGGGCATCGTCATCATCATGAGGGCACCGTTATCATCATCATCATCATCATCATCATCATCATCATCATCATCATCATCATCATCATCATAAACAGCATCATCAACGTCAGCATCACCATCGGGACAACATCATTATCATCATCATCATCACCATCATCATCTCATCATCAACATCATCATCATCATCATCGGGACACAGTCATCGTCATCATCATCAGCACCATCATCATAATCATCATCATAATCGGGACACCATCATGATCACCATCGTTCTCATCATCAACATTATCATCGACATCGTCATCATCCTCGGGACACCATCATCATCATGATCATCGCATCATCATCATAGACATCATCATCATCAACATCATCATCATTGGGGCACCATCATCATCATGAGCAACATCATCATCAACATCGTCATTATCATTATTATCATCATCGGGACACCATCAGCATCACCATCATCATCATCACCATCATCATCATCAGCATCATCATCGGGACACGATAATCATCATCAACATCATCATCAACATCATTATCGCGGGGACACCATTTCCATCAACATCATCATCATCACCAACATCATCGGAATCATCATCATCATCATCATCATCATCATCATCATCGGGGACACCATCATCGTCATCATCATCAACATAATCATCATGAGCATCATCATCCTCATCATCGGGACACTATCATCATCATCATCATCATCATCGACACCATCATCAACATCATCATCTTCATCGGGACACCATCATCATCATATCATCATCATCATCACCATCATCATCATCATCATCATCATCATCATCATCATCATCATCATCATCATCTCATCATCATCTCATCATCATCCTCGCGGGACACCGCGCGACACCGGCAGGACACCGCGGGACACCGCGGGACACCGCGGGACACCGCGGGACACCGCGGGACACCGCGGGACACCGGCGGGACACCGCGGGCCCCCGGCCGCCCGGAAGGGAG